ACGGTGTGACGAAACTAGAAGTTATAAACAGAAGCGCGCCATTGGTCTCGGATCGCGTAGGTAGTAAAACACTCCACTAGAAAGCGGTCTCAAAAGCGCGCATTTCATCTTTCTTTCACAGCTAAAGGCCCTCTCACAGACTTCCTTTGAATGATGCGGACGGATGATATGCCAACACACGGTGGAGACCAGCGCGCCTAATAACTGTGCCCCAGGGTGAGTACAAAGGACAGGCTAGGTAGATTTGCATGCTGACTGCAGATACGACATGACAGCATTGGTGGAATCCCGACAGCCACACAGCGTTGTCCTCAGTGGATTCCACCGCGAAAGGTTCGAAGAGAGTAAGGGATTCGAGGAAACAAGTGATACAGTTCGGTCAGGACACGATGAAACGTCAAATAAACAGTGCAACCAGTGGTGTCAATGCTTGGCGGTTGTTCTGTTGCTCAGAGCAGAATTTTCGGTAACTTCGCGGATAATATCGCAAACCGAAAACTCATCCGTAGTGGTGCGAGGCCGACCAGTTTTTCTGGTGTTACAAACACTACTAGTTCTTTTGAACGTTTGCACCAGTTTCAGAACCCAACGCCCATTTACGGACCGCAATCTCGCGTTCATGCTGTTGTATCATCGCGCAGTTTCCACAGCGTTTAAACCGCACTGACCAAACAGCCGAAGAATCAGCGCACGTTGACCAACAGCCACGCACTGTATCTCCGGTTGCACAGAAGTCACCGAGGAACGTGCTAAACTCCATCGCCCAGACACTAATCCAAAACAGCAACCATTCGCCGCAGTAACCTAGTTTGGCCTAACCAGATACGGGTGGGTCGCCATAAAATGATATCGATCATCGTTGTCGTACTGTCCACGCTAATTCGTGCTTTTAACGGTCGGTTTGCCTAACGTACGCCCGTCTGTCCACACACTCGTCGTCCAGCGGGCATTTCTGTGGTGTGAAGACGAGTTCACGTGTCCCAATCCCTTGAGGTAGAGGGTCTCCACGTGCGCAGTGCGTTGGTATTTTCATGCACTGGCGGCATGATACAGCTTTCGGCCTATATTCTCAGTGGAGCGGTAGAGCGCACCTGAATGATTATATAGACAGGAAATCGATTCGATCAGTGTGGGCGTGCCTGAATCGAGTATTTGTTGCATATCGAGTGCAAAACTCAGGCCAACACAACGGGTGATTCAATCAGACCCGATCATAGTGGACACAACTAGCGGTCGTTAAGGACGTCCAGCGCGGTTCCGTGACAGGCTGTGGTCACAGGTAAGACATGAAATGCGTACTGTAGTGAGCCGCTTTTGTGGCGCGTTTGGCATGGAAGAGTGGGCAGTAAAATGCTGTACAGCAATCATACAAAAACAAACTGTGTGGTGGTGTAAAAGTAGCATAAAAAGAAGTGAGACATAAATTAATGAGCGGCGCAGAGCCCGTTCAAATTAATTCGATGCGATTGTTCGGTCGACGGATTGTGATCGGTGCCTGATGCGGTTCAGTCAATTGTGTGCCTGTAACAAAGTGTGATGACCTCATGATTCACGTTGATAAGAAAAGTGTGATTTGAAAAAGAGAAAGTGGCATACGAGCGCAAACTCACCAGAATACGGGGCACAAAAACCCAATTCCCAAATAGAAAGACGAACAAGTACAAACTACAGACTAGATGCAAGAGGGTCACTAGTCCCACAAATGATTCAATTCAAACAAGACAACTAACAACTGATGTACCCCGTTCTGATACACCCGTAGGGGCAAAAAACTGTCATTCGGCCAATTTCTTCGTCGGTTTTGCCATACCGTCCGCTTGCTGTCCCAGGACCTCCTCGAATAAGCCGCAGTTCACTAAAACAACGCATGGAAGCAAGAGTCCAAGGGGCACATATGTGTGGCTCAAGTTTACAACACGGTCCGCTGTTTTTCTAGAGGATTCATATAGTAATGCGCATCTACCTAATTATGTGAGAAGCAGTACCACGCGGTGGTACCACGGTGGTCAATGACCACCGATCGCACCGCACAAGCTGACTCCAGAAATAGGTCTCTTGAAAACCCATGCTAGCCCCATTGGTGTGCACGGTGGTCGCTTAGGTGAACTGACCGCCAGAGGTGATAAAGCTACCCGGGTAGGGGAGATGGTAAACTGCGATTAAGTATACTTGTGCTGAAAGCAAAACAGATTAGTGTGAGCAAGGATATTTATCTTTCGTCGCTTAGAGTGCCGCAAAAACAATCATTAACTCGTCTTATCGGTGGTACAAATCCCCATACATATTAAATGATACAATAGGAATAACCGTGTAGCAGTCCACAGTGGAAAGGTAACACGCGTCTGAGGCCAGACGGAATGCCGAGCTGTTTGCTATGGCTGTCTGGTGTGCAGAAACTAACGGGACGCCAGTCCAGACTTCCCCTGAGCACAAGTAAAGTGAGCTCTTTGATGAGATGTCTAGATAGATTGGGAAGTGAACGGTGCGGCAGCACAGTTCAGTTATCCTCAATATTCCAGTGATGTTAAGTGTAAGACGGGAGTTGCAGGTTCTAGTCAGAAAGACTTAACGGACACAGTTTAAGGATCCTGACAATATGGAACGACTATCCGACGTGCCGCTAGATGTTTGACAGTTGAATGAGCACATAGCTGATGAAACTGTTAGGAAACGACGTACAGAGGCCATAACTAGAGTGACTCCTCTTCAGAAGCGATGACAAATATTAGCGAAGTGTGACAACTGCCAAAAAGCCCATAAAATCAGATTATCACCTATTAGGTCAGCAAGACATTGGTTAGTCCGTATATTTAGCGAGGTGAGGCTGAATGACACTGTTTTCCGAGTGGTGCAGCAGATGCAGTCTAGGTAGTTGGGAAGAGGATCTGCTAGATGACAAGTTCATTTCGTGTGTAGAATCAGCATGGGCACGGTAAGCAATGCGCGCGAAGATATAATATAATGACAAACACCACAATCGATGCGGATCCCTGGGTTAACGAGTCGATGATATATAACTGCAAACGAAGAGACCAGGTAACATACGAAGCAGTGCTCACAAACTGGTGCCAAGAAAAGAGGACGGGAAACGCAGAGGCGACCGAAGAAAAGTGCGTAAACATCAACTCCTTTGGGACAACAGCGGTCGCGCTAGTCGACAGCCACAGCAGTGAAGTGCCCGCCGAATTAGAAGCGGATATCAGTCGGTCAAAAACCATTTGAGACCTAACGAGGGTGCGTGCGAAGTAAATGAGCAAAAGGTTTAAGTAAGTTTGAAGGATCTGACAATTGCCGATATGCAAAGACAAACTCACTCCGTGCGGGGAAAAAAGACGGTCCCCAAATGAGCCTCGCGCTATTCGATGACAGTCATAGGGAAGTAAATGTATTGCTGTAAATGCGTTCAGTCGGTGTGCAAAGTCGCATTGCATGTTCCCAAGCCAGGATTTCGAATAGAACGACCACTACCAAGTTATGGAACTGCACTGGATCGAAAGCATCAACAACGACCTAAAAAACATCGTTCTTTGCAGAATATAGCAGCTTACAGGTGAAACAATTGGGTCATGTTACCCCATACACAAGTTACAAAATTACGATTGAGGCTTGACTGTACAAATGGAGGATGTTTCGAAGCCTGTTGAAATAAGCTTAATGGAAGGTGATCACTGATGTGCGCATGCAGTGTAATTACTTAGGGAACTGGAAAAGAATAGTGCGAAGCCCTGAAAAGGGCAGGATGTGGCCCGGAGACAGTGTTCTCTCAATGACACTGGTATGGGAAGCAAAGCGGATTTACTGAGCGTCGCCCACCAGAAAACACTGCACTCCAAAACGCTCTCCGACCTTAGTTGATATTACAATGACAACGCGTACCATCAAAGAGCTTTCAAGCATCAAACCAAGGACCACTGGAATATAAGTTGGGACCCTTCCCCTTTTAGCCACCTGGTCATCACGGGCAATGCTTGGGACAAGGGTAAATGACTGATTGGAGGGACATTTTGTAGTACTGGTAGTGTGAATGGGTAGAGATCCCCAATGGTCCCGAGGTCGAGGCCCGCTATCTATACCAGATGACATCAAATGAGTTCGAAACGCGTCGTGGTGTGCAGTGTTTTCGGGCGCACAACGTTCCCTATCTGTCTGTTTCATCAATTACGGTCGCAATGATCGATTTGAACAAGGTTCATTTTAATGCGGATCGCGGCCCACACTGAGATTGCGCGTCACAATCTATTCAGATAACGATCAGTTCAAAAGGACGCTCCAATCAAAGCGATTTTAATTAAGGCGTGATAGAGAAGGAATCCAAAGGAGATGAGGTCGGACGCAGGCGGAATTAACGAGACTAGGGTAACGTGTGTGTGGTTCTCAAGCAAAGTGGTGCTTGTGCTCCCATGGTTAAGGGCAGCGTCTGGTAATGTGCGTCAAGAAATTTAGACCGACATCGGACGGCCAGTTGGCGAATGTACCGAGCCCTTTGATGGTGGGGATTATGACCAGCTAGGTCTGTCATTTCAGCGGAAAGAGTTGTATCCAGAAAATTATAGTATTCATATACAATTTGGTGCTCCAACGACAAATAAGTAGTATATCTAACCCAGATAGTTGTGCACAAAGGGATCACTATATTGGATGTGAACACGTGGCAAACCTTGGATGCACGAGCATTTCCGATAAAGTTCTGTCGAAAGAAAATCTCCCTTGGAATTTTTTATACGTCTGCTACTATCAATAGCTAAATAAGTGAAACTGTGTGGCTCGGAGTGATGCGAAATACACAGATGCGGAGGTACTCAAATGCGTCGAAAGGGCATCCGGCACTCATAACTTAATACCAAGATGGGAAACAACACCAACTGAGGGCCTACGCGGACGTGGCGAGAAACTGCAAGTAGATGAACGATTTCCTCCGACTCAAAAACCACTTTCGGATGCAGAGAATGGGATGGGCCAGCCATTTGAAAAAGCGCATCGTGAGACTAGTTACCAAAAAGGCTGAAGGTATGCGTGAAGAGAATCCATGCAAGAATTCGTAGAAACGGACGAGGACACGTTGGTGACTCAAGTTGCCCATCTCTCGGCGGACATACGAGACAAGAAGGAAATGTGCGCACGGTTAACGTGCAGGGGAAAATTAATGCGAGAGACTAACAATGCAAATACCAATTTTAGGATAGGAATATAAGGTTGCAGTAAGGGAAAAAAAACTTATAGCTTGAATGTAGACCTGCGTTATGCTTTCATCAAATGAAACGGAAACCGTTACTCAACTACATCAATGACGACAAAATTATGTATGCAATTGCGACTGAGCTATCAAGGAAAGATAAAAAGACATAAATGGCCGGGAAGATCGGTGGTCACTGGAGAATACTGAATATTTTTTGTGTGGTCATACAAAGAGGCGAATATATAGAGACAGCATTTGGAAACGAAGGACAGAAACGTTGGAATGAAGAGGCTGGTAGTAACAGACAACATTGTGATACGAAATAAAAACGGATAAATGCCGTAGTTTTGGGTAATTCCTGCCGGATTAAAGGATCGATATGCAAGAATAACATACGGATCAGAGGGAATAAGCACTATCGCACAGACACGAATAAATGCACGAATTCGGGGGAGAAATGAAAATAGGGGGTAAACAATAGCAGGGATCAAAATGAACAAAATACTCGCTAGGGTTTGAGCAAAGGAAGGATGATGTACAGACAGGTATTGTGTCGCGATGAACCAGAGTGACTTCTTGTCAAAGAGAACAGTTGGACATAGTTCAATTATGTGTCTGACAAGGAGGAGAATCGACCTGAATCAGGTTTAAGGCTGGATCGGGGTCGGCGTCTCAGTCTGCTTAGTGTCATGAGTGATGGTTCCGTCCCAGATGAATTTAATGAAAGGTCGGGTGCCGATGACTGGTTCGTAGAGCCCGGTGACGCAGAACTTGGAGTGGACGCGGCTCGCCTCAAAGAATGTTGATGACGTACCGTGAGCTCTGAAGTAGATATAGTAAGTCCGTCCGGTTTGGTTGTCGGTTGATTGGCGAAGGCGGCTGAATGGCAACGCTTCAGACTCGCAGGTGACGCTGCAATTTTGGGCTCGCTGAGCCAGGATGGGTAGGGTGAAGTGGGCATGAGTTCCGAGTAGAACAGTAAATACGCTTGGGAGCCTGCCACTTCTGAGAAATCACACAAGGACACATTGGCGTCGTTGCAGTTCAGCCAGCATTCTGTGGTGAAAGTGTGGGGGAGAGTATAGAACGAACGTAGAAGCCGAGAAGGGAAAAGTGAAATACAAGGTATAAGCTGCATAATTAAACTTTCAAGCACCCATGAAACGCTGTCTGAAGAATCCCCTCCTTAAAGGGGCGGCAAATGCGAATCCAATAGTGCAGTGGGGAAGCGCGTCACAAACAAGCTCTGGTGTAAACGAAGTAACCCTCAACTAATTCTTTGCATCCACCACCAAAGAACAAACTTCTCGATCCGACATATACCGCTGAAGTTAAGAAGGTGCCGAAACGGAGTGCATGCGGTATATGTTGAGTTAGAAGAGCAATGATTCCTATGCTTGAAAAGAACCAAAATTGAAGTTTACGAAAGCGATAAAATAGCAGTCTCTTTGTACACGAGATGGGTGGTTTTGTCAAACAAGCAAATTTCTTGATTAGGGAATAGAAAGTACAAACAGTGAATGTGGAAAAACCACCTCGCGAAACTGAACGACTCGAGATAAATGTTCCTTAAGAGGAGGGGACTGGTCACAAAAATCATCCAACGTAAGCATTCGTTGCCTGATGGTCATATTCAGATCGGTTGGTAGGCTATGTTCGGAGAATCGATTCGTGATCGATGTAATGACCACAATGAGAACAATAACTTAAGATGTAAATAAACGCGAGAAGATGGTGAGAAACAGACTAGCGAAAACAGAAAGCAGTAATCGACTGATGATAAGAATAACAGCCAAAAACAAGAAAGCAAATGATTCCGAATAACCCTATCACAGAAAGGGATTCCACACAGTGATGTGGTGATACATTTAGTTTTCCCATGTAACTGGAGGTGAGTATTTAACGGAGGAGGATGAACAATCTTGTTGGCAACCGGCTTCTCTGTGGACTGCTGCTGAACACAAAGAGGGCGAATGAGCTACCCGGATGTCAACGGTCTCCGTTACTCGTCCCGCTGCCTTGCGGGTCAGGTCCTTATGACCAAAGGCTCGGGGTGGAGTCGCTTAAGTCAACCCTCTTCCTCGGACTGGACAACCAGGAAGAGCTCTGTCTGCACGACCCATTAAACTTGTAAATCTTCCAAACTTTTACACTATCGACCTGTTTTCCCCATTTTGTTGTTGTTAACTATGTGTCATGGCACTGCTAATTGTATATTGGTCTAGTGTCAAATAATAATAAGAAGAATAAAAATAAAAAGAAGAATAAGAATAATGATCGGATCAATCGGCCAATTTCCTCAGATCCATTGGATGTATGAGCGGTCGAAAATTCAACCGGAGGAAATAATAGAAAGCATTGCACCTTGAAGGGGCCGATTGTCAAGAATACCAATAATGTGATATAACCAAGCCAAATCATAAGGTATGGAGTGATCTGTGATCTTTTAGATCAAAAAAATGGAGCTTAAAGGAGCTGAGACCATCATGGTTTACTTGGCCTATAGAGTGACTGCAGGAAAACCAGAAAATAGAAAGGAAAATCTCCAGTATATCGCTTGGAGATAGTTTCAATAAAAACTGAGATCAACCAAATCGAAAGTGGTATTCAAATCTATGGCACGACCATGGTGGGTCACCTGAATGAATGACACTGTTCACTGATTTGTTTAAACGCGTAAATAAAGCCGCTGCAACTCCTGACGATACTTGTAGTAATTCAACTCACTTTAGGATCATGGAGCAACAGTCTAGGGGCAATGGAAATTAGCCAGCGTCTCGATGACAAAGGACTGGCTAGCCGAATAACCTCCACGTAGTGCCAGCTGGGTGGTTCGGGGAGACCACGTTCCAGCAAATATTTCGGTGGCAGTGTTCTGGGATGTAGTGGGTTTTCTCCCATAAAAGAGCACAAATGTCCGTTTAGCCACACTGTGACGTGGCGGTTGTGACTCGCCACCAACTAATGTCATCACCCCATGCTTATCCGTACAATTGTTTCAAGTCCATGGATGTTAAACATCTCTTTAGCACTGACAACACGTTCGAACACAATCAAAAGTGCAGCGAAACATTTACAAACCCAAGCAACACAGCTACACATACCTGGAATCACACATATATACATTCATCTATTCATTCATTTATGACAATCCTGTTAAACTATTGCACATTACTTGATCACTTGTTGTACTCACACAAGGATCAAGACTGTGCAGGCGTGCCTCGTTTAGGCGAGAAGAAGTAATTTATTCATTTAGGCATGTTTCGACTTGGCAAGCCTTTCGGAACTCATACACGTTTCAGCCCAGACAGCACAAACACAAGAACGCCAAGGATGAAGATCAGCCCAAATTCCGGTGACCATCATCAGAGCCTCATTCCCGGAGTACGTTAACGGCATCGTTGTAATCTGTGATTCGTTTTAGACCGCCTAAAATATGCGGTTTAAGTTGGAGATGTACGTTTTAAAGCTTGGAATGAGCTTGCCGCTCTTGAAATGTACGATCTTCCCTAAGAGTGCCCAGCAGCTGCTCGTACTCACATCTTTCCGGGTTACCAACTGGTAGTCGTCGATATATTCACTTGCCTTGGAAGTTGTTAGTTGAACGGAGTTGGTGGTTAAAAAAAGTTCTGTTTAACTAATTAAAAGCTGCAGGAAGCTTTTTTGATTCCTGTCGCCACTGATGCCGGCGTGAGTTCAGCCTTTGTCTGAAAAGCCGAGCTTACAACGTCATGGAACGAGCTCCATCGTTAAGAGACTGCGCACCCTTGTGTAAAGGAGGGTCAAAAATGTTTCTGAATTGCCATGTTTACTAAGCATTGCTAGCGTGAGACGGTATTACCACACTAGTAGTTTCGTAAAATATGTGGGCTCTAAACTGTAAAAAGTACTATAGCACTTCAGTAGCTGGTAGATGTAACAGTTAATCACCTCGCTGTGAGCCACCAATGCGCGTCGGTAGTTAATGCACTTAAACTCAAAGGGCAGAGGCCCCAGCTTCCACGTTGCGTTGCAAGAAGCTCCTAACTACCAGTTGTTGCTAGGTAAGAGAATAGTGGGAAAATCTGACCAGAAATGCTTTTGAACATGACCAAAAGCCGGATTCAAGAGCTAACGCGTTGTGAGACTTTTGCTCCGTGACAAACAGTTAAAATGAACAGGCATTAAAAGCGTAGGCAGGCTTAATTTATTCATCATAGAGGAGGACAACCGAAAGGAGTAAAAGTATTACCTGGTTGATCGTTCAAGCAATAAGCCGTGTAATGACCCGATTGAAATCCTCGACCATGGTGAACGATCACACCAGTAAGGTGGTACAGATAACGCCGTTTGGACGGAGAAGGAGGAGCTAGATCGTCGGCGAAGGATGTATTCGTTGATGCATCAGCTGGAAGACAGTGCACACCAGACCCCGACACAACGTCGTCGCACATGTGCGTCCGTGAACATTCCAGTCGATCCGCGTCATTCAGAACAAATTCGGATAGATCTAGTATGAGTGGAAAGACCACATGACATCCAACTTTTTCACGTTGTCGTCCGATCCACCTGTGCAGTGAATAGAAGAAACGGTTAAAGTGCGAACCAGGATTAATGAGCCAGGTGCATGCGATTCGTCTGCCAAAAATCAGACAGATGATTTCAATTAAAGAGTATAGATGCATATTCCTCCCGGACGTCATAAGCAAGTTCTTAATATTTACCGAGAAAAAATGCCTCATTCACAGCTTCAGATCATTTGGAATAATCAAAGACCAAAAAAAGCTTCGAAGAATGGAGCACAATTGTACAAACACTTCATGTGCCAAGACAGTTCGAAAAACATCCATCCATTAGAAGTCGCATCGGAAGTCAAGTAAACATCAGCCAATTCGAATGCATCCCACAGTGGTCATCACAGGGCACTGCACCACACCATGTTGCTTACAGAGCATTCAAACAGAATAATATGTGAGGGGATGGAAGCAAGAGTACTACTCTGTGTCTGCACTTTACAATCGTGTTGGTGTTGATGGAGTTAAAGGGGATGAGAATCAAAGCCGGTTGGTATCTATGACATTCGGTCACGATGTTCTGCAGGCAGCGCTTGCAGTGACGGGCATGAACTCGTTGGTAGGCCTTGGATTAAACGGAACAGCCTCGCCTTGGAATGCAAGAATCTTGGACCCATGAATTTCGCTAATTCTCAAAGATAAGCCCACGAAAAATGCAAGCCATATTTGAATTCAGCAAGTATGGATAGCTAACGCTGGGAGTATGATGGAAAAAATTTAACGTATATGGACGCGTAATGCGTCCGCGGGTGGCTAGGCACGATGTGAGCTTAGTTAAAGTGTTTATTCAGCCGAGCAACCCAACCCGAATGATGACCCCGAGTGACGCGAAATATTGGGGGTGACTGGGGAGATCGGACTCTACCAAATTAATGTATTGTAGAGTAAGGTAGGTTGTCTCAATGGCCTAAAGTGCCCGCTAACGAGTCTTCCAGCGAGCGATTTGAGCATTAATGGTGCAACCCAGCTCAGAGATAATCGTGGCTTTCACCCACATTCTTCACAATCTCAGCCCTAGGGGCTTGCAACACCTAAAATGAGGTAGTGAGTGGAGCTGGAAGTAATGCTGTAAAAGCCATCCGTAATCCAGCCCGAATTCACAAATACTCACCGATTAGTAGCGCCCGCGCTGACAAACATACCCGAAAAACAGATACTGTTAATTACTACCAGCTAATGGATCGCAGTCTATGAAGTTCAATGTTAGTAGGCCATCCGCTGTACTTAGCGACTGTTGTGTACGTCGCAAGGAACGACCTCCCTCACATTTTCCATTGAAGAGCGAAGAACATCGCAGCAATACTTGTTGGGTGCAAATATGCCTGAATTGGAAATATTATTGTCATCCACAGTGAGTGCAAATCAGCGAAGGATTGTCGGCCGATCAGAAGTCCGACCATGTCCGGGTGAGTAAAACGCATGATTCCCCTCCCAAGGTCTCAGCCAATACCACTTCTTCGACAGCATCTAATAGTTAGTTCAGATCACAGACAGCAATTTAACGAAGTGAGGGCTAACTGACTTGCTACCCATCACCGACGAATGAGGTCGGGTAGTAAAGTGTCGATTGAAGTCGCCACCCATGGCATGTAAAGGTTTGCAAAGCTCATCTTGACTTCATCCAAACGGTGGATGGACTTATGAACAATGGATTAGTTTCGTTCAAAGTAACCGCAAGACGTCGAACTGGTGTTTGACCAAAACTCTCAAAATTGAACGATAGCGCTGGTCAGCAGTGAAGGCCAGTGAAACGGGGAACGCCGGTGTGATAATCAAAACCACAAATTTAAAGCATGGATCAAGAAAATGCAACAGAAGGCGAAATACATGATCGATAAATACTTAAACGCGTCAACTATACTATTGAGTGGACTGTCTTAGAAAGAAATTGAACGTATAGTTATGTTCACCACCGTCTCTTGAGTCGTCTAACTGACTTCAATACCACTACATTCCGAGGGATCCAAACCTAGACTGGCGGAACAACGCGCCCGGTCCCTGCGAACCCTAGTACTAGTTGCCATAAAACAGCGGGGATTTGTTGGCCCATCTGCTGCGCTAAGATGACACAAGTTGGAGGCTGCTGAACACTGAAATTTTCTTAGAAAGTTGTCTAAGGACTTCATGGCAAAATGATGCAGGTAGTTACCTTATCGTCCTTGTCACCAGTCCGTTTACAAGTATCCTACTGCGACGGCTTACTGGCCCTGGTGAGGATCAATGCTGTGGGAAGCTTTCACCTTGGCAGAGAAAGCCTAGGCCAAACGCTCATGTATTCTCAGCCGACGAACAACACCGCGTACATATAACGTCGATCATGACCATTAACCGCGAAGATCGCACTTGGACCAGTTGACTGCACCTGCTCGTGACCATGTATGTGTTCGAAAAAGGAATGGGGGCCGCCGAGTTATTTCTTTTCGGATAAACTTCGTGGTCAAAAAGAACATAAATCACACAGTAATGTGTTGTTTTTCGACGGAAAACTCTACCAGGTGACCGCTCACACGCTTAGAATATGCCGGTAATAATAATTACACATGAGTAACAAAGTTTACGGTCGGATAGGAATAGCATATATACCAAGGCTAAATGGACCGAAGTAGAGCAATAAGCTCTTTCATGTGCGTTTCGTGATAGTAAAGTAAGAGGGATGGCTGAAGGACTAGGCAGACACTCAATTGGTTCTCGGAATCAATGACAAAATCACTGTGTGCATCGAAGCGACCTGTGTGAATTCTCAAGGGTTTGGGCATTTAAGAAAATGGCGGGATGTCAGCGTATCATTCACTAAACGTTTGTTCAGTATATTATCCACTTGAATTATAAGAAGCGTTGCCAACAGCTCCACCTCAGCGCGTCTTCAGTAGCGATGAATGTAACATAACTTGATGCTCCTTTGCAACCGCATAAACCAAGACGTACTCTAAACTCCCTACATAACAATTGCAACATCACTTCACCCGGAACTTCCCAAGACGACTTGTAGGGTAATTGTGCTAAGAACCAGAACAGCTGTTTGAGCAAACCTCTTCCTCGTCAGATACGATGTCCGGTTGAATAGCCTATCAGCCACTATCAGGTAGTGTACAAATGCAAGAACATTTCGCATTGAAGTTGGAATTGTTATAATTAAACTCGATAATGACCATGTTTTTATTGGACAAATCATCAAACGAGTTCTTCCAATATGGACCAAGAATTATTCGACCAGTGGGAAAGGCTTATGCACAAAACGCAGCACTAAGCAAAGATATGTATTTCAGAATGCCTTAATAACACTGAGGCTACTGAATATGCATCATATTCATGCATGAGCATGATCAATACCGTACTAATGATATGTACCTATTTCAGAAACAACATCTCATACATCTGAGAAATATGCGTGTTATCATGAGTATGGTGAATGCATCGACGTCAGTGATACTGTATGGAGCATTGACATGGGTAGCTCATCTCGAAGCCCCAAAACTATTCGTCGACTTTGAGCGCGGACACAAAGTGGGAACTATGGAAGTCTGTTATTTGGCGTCAGATGATCAAATTTTGTGTAGCACTGTGCCGTCTGTATTGACAGGGTCACATTCGCCACCTGCCAGACGATTTGCCTCACTGGTGCGGCTTGTTCACGGTTGCTACATCTGATTGGATGAGGCAGAGGAGGTAGCAAGCAGAAGTCATGGTTAATGAGCGTGGATAAATCGAACCAAAAGCGAATTGTGCCGTCATCCCTCCGAATGGGGAATTCCAATGTGGCGCTTCAAATGTCTGGTTTGAAATCTGTGCGACCGTTGGTTCGAGTCCCCGCTCATGCCTAGGCATGGGGGCCGCGTCAGCTGGTGCGCAATCTCTCGGTTGTATTGCAGTGAAGCGTTCAATACTAGGCACTGGCTGATACCTTGATGGCGGTGTCGTAGTCAACCGCATCCTTAGAGGTGCATGGAATCCCATTCGGAGTTGGCACAGCCACCGGTCCAGTGACTTGTTGACCTAAGCACCTCCAGCAACAAGTCGTTAACGGTTTCACCCAAGTATCAGCAATTGTTTGCGTTACGATTCCTTTTTCGCTGCGTTCCGCCTAAATTCCCGCTGCATGTCTTTTCACCGCAACTTTTTACTGTTATCATGATAAATTGTGGCAAATGGATGTACCACGCTCAAGAGAACTGAAGCATAAGAGCGCCGATAACGACATTTGCAACTAGACTTGTGCGCAACGTTTGGTTACCGCACAGCTACCAACAGGTTCACGACATTGTGTTGAGTGCAAAGCACGAAGGCAGTGCATGTCAAAGGTCAGAACAGTGCAACAGTATCAAGCGGGCTTCATAAGGAAGCCTGGCAAATGGCTAACAATACACGAGTGGTTGAGCAGTCGGTCTCTAAACGGACACAAGTTGAATAGCCGCGCCATCGAGATCTGTGAAAGATGACAAAAATTGCAATGATCCGAAAGGTGCGAAGAGTTGTTTATTGCAGCAACAGACATACGTCATATGCACTAAATTTGACCACCAATGGCTCCACTCATCTGTGAACGTCTTCCTGGATATTCCATGGTGCATTCTTGCTCGAAGCCTTTCTTAATCCCTGTTCTTCGTTTGTTCCCACTGTTTCAGAACTCAGTCCTTCAGAGACAAGGGTTTATTCAGCAAAGTCAACTCAGCAAAAATTACAGCATGGTTGGCAAGCCAAACCCCCCGATATAAGTTGCACGTGCTCGTCCATAACTAACGAACCTTATGAGTCGATAAGGTTCTTCCTTTGACTCAGTTAAACAAACGGTGAGTAACTCACACGAATGTCGGCCAATCCGTGTCCAGTAATCCAATCCGTTACGCCCGTCTCCCACACGCTGTCTGACTCTCTCGGCTGGTCCATCCGTTCACTCTGATCTGATACTCTAATCACAATGATGATTACTTTGGTCCATTGCTGACCTGCTGGTTTACCCACTCCTCCCATACCACTGGCCCCTGGCGCAGTAGCACC